GCTGAAGCGTCTTGTTTTCATCAGACTTTGAGGAAATTTAAAATTTTCTCTTTTATCATCTTTGAAATATGTAAGTACAAAACTTTCGTCGAAAAATAATGATTTTACTATATGCACGATATATAAAATACAAATTTGCAATGTATTCCTAATGTTCATATATATATATAAAATTAACCTTAATATATTAATACACTTAATTAATATTTGTCAAATAATATTTCATTTAATTTCATTTCATTTGTTGTAATTAATTGTTATTATATTTGTATTTTAATTATTATATATTTTCATATTTGAATTATTTTAAGTATTTATAATGTAATATATTTTTGCAGAAATTAAAAAAAAATAGTACACAATGGCTGCAACAATGCCAATAAATCCAAAACCATTTTTAAATGGTTTAACTGGTAAACCAGTTATGGTAAAACTGAAATGGGGTCATGAATATAAAGGTTATCTTGTCTCTGTCGATGGATATATGAATTTACAATTAGCTAATACAGAAGAACATATAGATGGAAATTGTACTGGCAATCTTGGTGAAGTTTTAATCAGATGTAATAATGTAATGTACATAAGAGGTGTGGAAGAGGAAGATGAAGAAGGAGAAATGAAGGATTAAATTCCATAATGTTTATAGATTTAGGATAACACTTTTTATTTTTAAGTAAAATTAAAATAATAAAATTATGTTTTTTAAACCGATGGAAATTTATTTATCAATAACAATATATTCATATTTACATCATAATTAATTTTGATAGTACATTATAACAAAATTATAATATAAACTTAATTAAATTTTGGAACATTTGTTACAATAGGTTTAGGTCTCGACCTAAAAATTATTTTTCTTTTTATAAGTGCTTTAATAATGTATTCTGTTTGTCTTTCAAAAATGTTGGTTGCATTAACTTCTTCATTCTTTTTTTTCACTAAAACTGCAAATGGTTTTGGAAGTACCATTTGTTTTCCATGTAATACATGAATGCCGATTATGAGTATAGGTGTACCAGATTTTGTGAAATGTAAATCTCCAATATATACATTTGTAATATTCGTGGAGTTAAATTTCAAATCACCCTGCAATTCAATAATTGCCCATTCTTCAAATTTTCCATCTCTACAAAATAACAAAAATAACACTTTATGAAATGAAACGAATATAAAATTCATTGATATTTTAATATTATTTAAGTGATAAATAATACTTTTTTATTGGCACGATCATACTGAGTTTTGGCGGCAAACAATGTTTACACATGCACATATATATCTGATATATATGTATGCATCATTGCTCATAAAGTTACTAGGCATGAAGTATAAGCTTAAGTCGAGTTTACAATACGAAATGAAACTCACGCTTTACAATTTGTAACAATCATTACTTATTGTCAGATAATTAGGTTTAAATTTTAAATATTTGTAAAATTATAAAAATTACACATAGTTATATAAATAATTTTTTAAATCAGGATCTTATGAAGCAGAAGCGAAAAATAAACAATTTTTCCGTTCTTTAATAATGAATCAATTAATTTAATATTACATATTTCATATACTTACATCTTTTAATATCTTATTCAACAAAAATGTACATGTTAAATTATTCATAAGATTAAATTTTTAATTTAATTTTCTTTTATCTGGTACATTATGCTCGAAATAATTTAAATGTTCATAACTATTTGATAGCCAAAACTCAAATAGAATTACATTCTTAAAAAATAATATCGCAAGCAATGTAAGGAAATGATTCAATAATTTGATTAGAAAAATGATAATAAAATGAAGTTAACATATTTTGTATAATTTTTCTTGCATGTCAATTTATATATAAATCCCAAAACATCTGTTAAATTTATATTTTTTCCTTAAAAAGATATTTTTATTTTTTTGTCATTCGATAATGCAAATTCGTAATTGCAAATACAATATATATATAGCTGTATGTATAGCTGTTTACAATTGGAATAATATTCATGCAAGAATGCTTTATTTGCATATATATCTATGTGCATTTTGTATATTTACTGTAGATGTAGAAAGCATATATAGTATATTTTCATTCAAATATGAAAACAATATAATGGGGTTGCTGTCTTGGTCCTGTGCTTGTACATATAAAAGTGCAGAGGAACAATCCTTTGTTTTTGAAATAGAACCCCATCTTCCTCTAATACCTCTCAATATATTAACTTATGTGAGAAAGTGTCATATATTATAGTTACACATCCTCTTTGTCCATAACATGTACATCTGCATATGAATATGTAACAATATTGCATATTACTAGCAAATAAATTTACATATGCATATGTAAGAATGTATATATCTACCAAATATCCTCCTAAGTGGACTTATATGTCATTTTATCACTATAAACATTTGATCTAAATATATTATTATACGACATAGATGTTAGAGGAATTGGTTTTAAAATGTTAGCAATTGATTGTCGTTTAGAGTATTACATAGGACCTTCTATCATACTAATTTTCATTGTACAATAATAAATGCTGCGTCCAAAGCCCAAAAGTGCCAAGAGGAATGCACCTGAAAATAAAATTTAAAAGGGACCTAATGAAAAGAACAACCTGTTATTTGAGTAAGATGTAATTGGATGTTTATATCTAAGACCTAAGACATTTATATATTCAATTATTCAATTTAAACAAATTTTATTATACTTACCAACATAAGCTACGTAAATTCCACCACTAGATTTTGCGTACGTATGTGTACCAACCTAAAAATAAAATGGTATCAATTATAATCAGCTTTAAAATATGTTTAAAGTATCTCAAATTTTTTTATTACATAATCTTATTAACATATATAATAACTGTACATACTTACAGTCACTGCTATCGCAATTACTAAGGCTATTAATCCAACAATAGAGAATGCTATACCTCGACCTCTAGCAAAATCTGGCCCAACAGAGGATATTTTTCGGCAATGTGGACATCGAGCCAAAGCATTATTTAAGGTATTGAACTAAATAGTGTAACAATACATATATTAATTATTATAAAATTATAATTATAAATAAAATATCTTAAATTCACAATTATAAACAAAATATTTTAAATCCTTACCAAAAATGTGTCATGACAGTGAGCACAACATACCCTACACATTCCAGGCATAGATAAAACAGGTGGTGTGATTGGACTTGGAGCAAGATTAATAATACGTTTACAGTTTGGCCTTGGACAAGCAATGCGTTGTGAAGAACTCTTACATATTAACAAACAATTACATGGGCAACGTACATATTTTTTTCCAGGTGGTGCATTTCGTATGGGCTAAAAAAGTAATTTGTCACTCTTATTTCTGATATGGAATCTTACAGTGAATTAAATTACTTTGATAACGTACTGTAGCTTCATTACACTGACAGCATTTGACAACATGTTGATCTCTTTTACCAGAAATATCTATCATAGCCTGACAAACCCTGCATGTAACCATATGCATGCCACACTGACTACCTGATTCGTATGGAGGTGGCACTTCATCAGGACCTATTGCAGATACTGTACTGACAGTTGATTCCACTTCGTCTGAAATAAAATGTAGTAGAGATAACCGTAAGCAATTGGATTAAACAAACCTAATTCCTTCGTGATCAAAATCGAATATTATTTACCAACGAGACTGCTAAGGGGAGAATCGTAAATTTCCTTTTCCTTTTTTAATAACGGTTCTTGTTCGCCCTTCTTCCCGTTTCCCATGTCGCTCTATTAATTTACCCCTTAATGACAACAATTTAATTCAAGTATTGTTTGACAGTCCTCCCGGTGCTTCGATGACAAGGATGACAAAATAAAAATTTTTCTAACACCCTCCGTAGTTCTGTCTGTTTATAGAATAGAAACTATCTGCCGGGACTAGATATACATCGTATTATTATATCATGGATTTTTAATGGATTGGTTTAGGAATTCTATACGCAATTCTGGATTTTCACATGTTGGCTACCCTGTTATTCAATAATAGTGATGTGATCGTATTTGGAGGTTATCTTTTTCTTTTTTTTTCTACTTTTTTAACGAAAACAAAGATTACTATTATTTAGTAATGGTATCGTAAAGTTTTCAAAATTTTCTGCTATAGTTTGTTTACAAGTCACAGAATACCACCGCTTATGTCCGTTGTACCGGGTATATTTTAACGCTCGTAGTTACACACTTCCCGCATTTACACGACTTCTTAAAAGTTGAATGCCATCGAATATTGATTCAACTCCTTAATGGAAGTGTTTGATTTTCAAAAAAATACGCATTATCTTTATATGCCATACATCGAGGATTCTCTTTTGATCGGTGTGTGTATCTTTTCTCTTCCCTCCTCTCCATCCCAAACGAGCGAATCTATTTTCTAAGAATTTGAGTGAAAATTAAAGAAATAAAAATTAGGCATCCAAGATTTGAAAACTTGAGCCTTCGTGTCCAGAGTCGATTACTTTACCCACACGTTGACGTTCTGTTGTATTATCCGTAAACTGTACAAAGGTCTAACCTAACACTCTGCAGTATATAATACGAATAAAACATTCTGCTTTTGAATTATTTCTCTTTTTTTTCGCGTGTGTAAATAAAAAATATGGAAAATATGGAAAAAATAAATCATTTATGGAATGTGAATCAATTTATTACGAAATTAAATTGTTCACAAAGCAAAAATTTGCAAACATTTTACATGTAAGCTATACTTTGTTTACTTGTGTGTAGTATTAGAAATTATGCATGTACTTTGAGCAAAGAAGTAATTGAATATATATTATATGTTTAATATTATTGTACCATAGGGAAAGATGTAAAAGATTTAGTCATGGAATACAGCTGTCATCTCAGAGTTTTGGTCCATCTATGATGTGTCCATTTTGTGGATCACTCTGGAATACTATGAACTATAGTATTAGAATATTACGAGGTAGACCACTCTCTAAATCCATTAAAAAAATTATACATTCTATGAATAATGGTGAGAAAAGAATACATAAAGTTCAAAGAAGTTTAGCAGAAAAATGCATAAAAAGTAAAATGAACAAATTAGTACTTAAATGTTCAGTCTGTTCAAAAAGTACAAAGATACCTTTTGATAAGCCACAAAGGGAAAAGATACAGAAGAGTGAAATAAAAAATATTGAAGGTAAAGCAAAACGGAAGAAAAAGAGAACCAAGGATAGAACTGCTGGTTTAAATATTTCTGGAATTTCAAATTCAAATGTTACAGAAGAATTTAAACAAACAAACATAAGAAAAGTAGAAAGTACGACAGTCGCAACACCAACTCAAAAGATAAAAAAATTAAATATAAATCGATTGAAAGACATGGTGAATAAAGAAGCAACACCTCGAAAAAGGACGAGTTTACATAGTTTTTTAACAGAACTTTGTTGAAAATTAATTTATTATTAAAGTGTCATATAAAATGTGAAAACACAAATTCTCATTTATTACATAGAAACATAGAAAACATTCGTCACGCTTCCTTTATGAAGAAAAAAAAGAAAGACGAAAAAACAAAGAGAGTGAAGAATAAAAAGACTGATATTTAGTTTTTCAAAATCCTATTCTAAAAGACATTATTTTTGTACATTAAATACTAAAAAATTTTCAATCTTTGGTTATTTTAATCGTCAATTGTTCTCTACAGTATTGTCCATACGATAAAATAAATATACATGATACATCAAAAGCGTGATTCACACAAAGTTGCACATTAATTACTCTCCTACTATCACTCCAGTGGAATCTCCTTCTGTACAACCTATAAAAATAAAATCCTCTTAACGGTATAGAAAATTATTGTTCATTTTAATAAGAGAAAAACCAACAAACTGTACAAGAGGAAAAACTAATTCTAATGTACAATTGCAGATCTCTATTTCTTGGCAACGTGCAGGCGCTTGTGCGTCACCACATCATTGTCGCACTTTTCGGCTGTGAAAGTCATGCGTGAAGGTCTACTTTCGTGCATTTCTTGTTAATTCGGTCAGTATGTCGGGGCAGGAGTGCGGGAGAGGAGTTGTTAGTCACCTGAATGCACGCCTCGAGATAATCCCGCTCGGACATTTCCTGGTCCTTCGCAGGGGGAACTTTTCCCCGACGGCGCAGCTCTTGCTTGGCATCGTTCAAGTCAAAAATCGCCACGGGATCCAGTTTGCCCTTCAGTACCAGGCCCGCCAAGTACTCAATGTAGTGCTGCCTGCGGGGAAAAGTACCCAGAATTTAGTCGTGCCATGCACGATGCCTTTTCATTTACCTCGATCAAGTCTCTCCTGTAATGTTCCGGATTACGACCGTACCAATTTGGGGGCAATTTGATTCCCGCACGTTTCACGCAAGTCTCGAGATCGTCTACATTTAGTAACGGAAGTGGTTCCAATTGGGTCTCCCGAATCTTTCGAACTAGGTATTCGATGTAGTGGATCCTGAATATTCGAAGATTACGTTGAAAGGAAATTGAAATTGGGTATCATTTTTTAAACATTTTTCTTATCGTATATATCGTATCATTATCTTTTCTTCTCATTTATTTCATGCCTAATAATTTCTTTACTTGTATACTTTTCGTATAATTGTAACGGTGCCTTGGTCTCAATTGAAAGAGAAAGGTATTCAATTGTAAAAGTAGTGGTCGTAATAACAGCGAAAGCATGCGAAGTTGCAGAGGGACAAACAAATTACCTGCACAAGCCGGCGTGTCCCTGAACGACATCTGAATTGCATACCGCGTCTACAACACCAGTGGGAGTTTCTTTCTGCAGTTGCACTTTGCATTTGCGCTCGCCGGCCGGACCCTCTGTGTCATACTCGATTCCATTATCTCTTAACAGTTGTTGCAACTGCACGGGTTCCTTATCGCGAAGATAGAACAGACAGTTTCGTGGATGATGTGCGTGAAGGCCCAGTTTTGCGCAATACGGGCTGACCGAACATTTTGCTCCCATCATGAACGCTTTCCCGCAACCACAGCAAAATTCATATTTGCACTGGCTGCACGTAAAATGCATACAACCTGCAAATATTTATCGTTAATATTGTTAACAAATAATTTCAGTGGTTTTAGAATTTTAGGAAAAAAAAATTCACTGAAAACTAATAGAAATTAAATTATTAAAACTTCAAAGTTCATTTGAATCACTTTACGTTTTCAATGAGAAGGGCCCTATTTCTATTTAAAATGAGCTCTAATAGAGTAATAGAGTACTACAGTATTTTAAGAAAAATTCATTGCAACCCAAATAACTAAAGCTTGAGCGTCCGTACGAATATTTTACCTCCCCTGGACAAGGAGTAGCGAAATTTGCATTTAGGACAATCTATCCCATTATCCGCGAGGTGCTTGGCTAAGCCGGCGGCTTGATTATCCGGGTCATTCTCGTCTTTCCAAGCAGCAAATTGCTCGCACGTAATTCCTTGGTGCTGTTTCTCCCACTGAAAGTGAAACCACCGTCAGAGAGGATGTCTGTCCACGCTTATGTAACTTCCATTTAATTTTCGTGTAATTATCAACGTCAGCACGTACCGGTCTCCGACACTGTGCACACGTGACTGATCGACAGTCGGGGCAGATTAATCTCTTCTGATCTGGATCCGCGTAAAATCCGCTCGAACACTGAAAACATGAATATATATGACATTCCTTCAATTGTCGAGTAAAGAGGATTGAAGAGATTTGTATTGAAGAAACACCTGAATGCACCACTTGAAGTTCGGATCTTGCATTAATGTTCTGTCTCTCAACTTCCTTTGGAAGAGTTCATGAATCGGAGGATCCAGAAGTGTCTTCAGTTGTATGTCCAGGTTACTGAAATATTCTAACACCTCGTCTTCGCTGGCGTCTTTTAGATTTGGCTCCTTGCAAAACGGGCAAACTGCATCCGTGATGTTTCTGTCGCTGACTTGAATCGTGAAGTAATTTTTCGCGCATTCGTTACAGCAACGGTGCACGCATTTCAACATGGACACTATCTGAGTTTAGAAACGAATTCCAGCTTAATCGAAGTTCATTTATATACTTAATTAAACTGCGGATGTTGATGAATATTTAAAAAATAGTTCATTTAATCCATATAAATTTTGCCACGAAATAATGGACAGTTTGCTTTTTCGAGTACCTGGCTCATTGCAAAGCGACCAGTGCAAAGCTCGCATTCCTGTTGTAAGAAAGCCAATGCCGATTCTATACTGGAACACTCTTTGGCTGCTTGGAGAGCCTCGACGTCTCCGAACTTCAGGGCTAGCAAACTGGCAGCCACTTCCGCCTCATCGTAGTTCGACGCTTTTCCTTCTGCTAAGAGGCGTCGAGCAATTCTCTGCAAATATAAGGAAATCCTCACAATTTTATCTTTTCTTTTTTGTTATTTAAATTGTATGGAGCTGTTAGAACATATCCATGTTATAATTATATATCATCTATTTAATTTAAGTACAAAAGGAGGATTAAAGATAATGTCGAGATAGATACGAATTGAAATAATAGACATGGAGCAATGACATACATTGAGAAGTATTTGACATGAAATATTTGGGACTTAAGATTAACATTGATATATAAAATAATATACAAGGTGATATATAAAATAATATACAGTGACATGCAAAAGTATGATAGACAGAGACTACACCAACGTCTAGAAACAAGCTCTCGAAATTTTTGCGGTAACATCGACGAAACCGCGAATAGAATTTTAATACCGTGTTTATTTGTTATTTACGAACTAAGAGTGACATTACGGAATATTAATACTCCAATGAACGATCGTGAGGAATATACAGAAGGACGAACACAGAATATGGAATTTCATCATGCTTGTATATTCTTACTAATACGTCAAGGGATATGTTTTATTCCCCCAAAATAAAACGATCGTGTCGGTGGGAAACGTGTTCTCGTTGTTCTCGTTGAATTACTAAAAAAAAATTGGATGATGGAAAAGTCGTGTTCCACGGTATTAAATTAAACGCCGGGTGTGCTTTCTTCACAGAGCATATACAAACCTCGAGTACGCTTTCGCGTGTACATCACGGTTCTGTTACTTTTTAATTTAAACACACAGCGGAGCAACGCGAAACAAAGCGACATGCTATATAACAGCAATATTAGTCACGAGGAGAACCAAGAGGAATACTTACCTTCGTGGAAACAGAGCAACAGCCAACTGTACACTAGGCAGGGAGAGAAAAGAATGTGCTTTAAAAGCTACAGTCAAAACAGGGTTAAAATTTTAACTGGACTCTGTCGGGTATTTTTTCTTTTCTTTTTTTTTTTTTTTTTTTTTTTTGTTTCTCGTGTTTTTCTCAATTATTATCCGACGTTCTAACACTATTGGCAGAGCTGTTTGTAGACATTGGCCTGTCAGCCGGTAAGAACTGACAAGTGATTCTGACAACTGACGTCTACTGACCTCCCTCTCCGTTTTGGGAGATCCCCCTGTCATCAAGTTGCCGCTCCTACTTTCCACGTATTCCCGTTCTGTTTTTTCTTCGCCCTCGAACCGACGGATACAACTGGCCACCAAGGAGAATCGTTTCTTTGACGTTCCTCCCTGATCTGCCCCTTTGTCACAGCCTGTGCTCGCTCTACGACTCGTTTTCACTCGCCTGTCGCTCGTACGTCTCGCTTTCGCGACCTCAGTCTTAGGATCTGTTTTAATCTTTACGTTTTTACCGGTGTTGTTGTTCGTTTCAAGTTTTTTAGACTTCGGTTTATTAGACTTATCTGTAATCGTGTCTCTACCGTTCTTTAATTGTTCTTCAAGCTTTTTAATGGAATGACTTTCAGAAGCGATATCCTTTAACGTTTCCTTAGCATTGTTGTCTAAATTATGGACACTTGTCATTTGTCTTCGTTGGCTTCTCACATCAACGTTATCAGCTTTCAAAGTTTCGTCCTCTTCAGACGAAATGCTATAATCCAGTTTTTCGTCGTCTATTTCTTTATCCTTTTTAAATTGTTCTCCTACCTCTTCTTCTTCTTCTTCTTCTTCTTCTTCTTCAAAGGAAGAATCTTTAATATCCATGGAAATTTCACTGGAATTAGAATCTTCCTGGCTCTCGTTATCAGTGATATGTGACTCGTTTTCAGAATCTTCGAATTCCGAATCGGATATTTTTGCTTTTATCGCGTTAATTGTTTCCTGTAGCATAATTTCAGCATCGGTTAGCTCCTCCATGCTGTCCAACGTGCAATCGGAAAGCTGTTTCTCCGTTTCTGACATTTCGGATTCCGTTGCGTTCTCGAAGTCGGAAGTGGAAGAATCGTTATCTGAAACTTCTAGCTCGTATTCCTCGCTGGAAGTCGTGTCATTTAAATCCGATTCTTTGGATATCGTTTGATCTCCAGAGTTCGACTCTACTGTCGCGTCTACTTCCTCGTCATTTCTCTCCGATATCATCGCGGATTTCATTTTTTTTTCATTCCCCTCGGAAGTCGACGTCCGTGGGGCTTCAGTTTTTACGATCGTCGTCTCTCTGCTATTTAAATTTCCGACTTTGTCCGAGTCAGTTTTCCGCTCTGCACTGATCTTCAAAGCATTTCCAGATGAAATACTTTTTCTCGCTATTTGCTGGATGATCGATGGCTTCGCCGAGGTGATAGTTAACCGGTCACCGAATACTGCCTTCGAAGACGGCTGAGAACTTTTTGGAGCCTCTTGCATTTGTCGAAGAGAGCGACGCCTCGCTACGAACACGGGGATCTTCGAAAGAAAAGAGGATTTTAATACGCTACTCGTAGACTTTTCAGTCATTACCTCACTCTTTTTATCATTAACAGGTACGATCGGTTTCTTAATTTGTTCGCAACCCTTGGACAACGATTTCTTTTCTACAGTCGCTTTCGTCCCCGTGGATTTCGAATTTCTTGGAATTTGCTTCTGTCTGGAATTAATCAACGACCGTGTTTCATTTGACGGGCTGTTATTCGATGGAGCGTTTTTTACAATTTTAGCAGTTGTCTTCCCCGGGCTTCTCCTTGACGTTTGGCTCGACGATAAAGTCGAAGATCGTCGAGTTATTTCAGCGGCGGTCTCTTTCGCCTTCGCAACCGTCGTGCCTCTCGGGCTAACTTTTCCAAAATTCCTCCTCGGTATGCCGGTAGGCTTTTTCACCACTTTCACAGGAGACCTCCTTCTGCCGATCTTTTTGGCAGGAGATTTGGATCTCTCTTTGACTGCAACTCTCGACGTGGCCGTCTTATCAACTTCATTTGCATCTACTTCATTATTTTCGTCGTTCGCCGCGCTTTCTCCCGAAATCTTTACGATCTCGCGTGCTTCGGCCGCGCTCTCTGCTTGCAGTTTTACCGTCTCGATCGGTAGCTTCCCCGATGAACTTTCTACGATCTTTATTGGCGCACAATCGTTCACCGCTATCATGGGACATTCTATGATCTTAATCTCTATCGTTTCAGGTACTCCGGGAGGAACATCATTAATATTTCCTACAATTGAACATTCAGCCTGTAAATTATTACTGGATTCAACGCTCGATTCGAGTTCCAATACATTTACAGAATCTTTAACAAATAATCCGGTGTTTCCTGTCTCATCTTCTTCGACCTTACTCGAGGCTAGAGTACATGAATGCGACGCGTGATCGTTCGAATTTTCCTTTGCGATACTTCTATCGTCGCAGGGAATCGTACTGGCGCATTTGTCAAGGTTTCTAGGCACGTTTCTAGAAACGAAATAAGTTTCCTGATTCGTATCGGCCAGATTTAACTCGATGGCTCGATTTTCTTCGCTCGAGTTCGAGCTCGCATTATACGATATATCGTTATTAGGAGTAACGAGGCACTTTGGAATGTTGTTAGTATCCGTAGAGTTTAGCTTGTTAACGGCAGATTCGGTGTCCAAAGCATACGAGTTCAATGAGGAACCGGAAATACAAGTAGCATCACTTGAGATAGTTACGATCGTAGGTTCGGTATTCACGAGCTCTTCACCAGCTTTATTTGCCTCGTGGTTGTTCGATATCGAGGAGGAAACTATCTCTGGATCGTTCTTTCTTATCTCTGGCTCGTTCTTCGGGTCGATTGCTGCCATCGATTTGTTTAAATTATTCTGTTCGACGATTGTCGGAGAATCTTCTTTTATTTCCAGCGGGCAATCTTTTGTCACGTCGTTAATCTTTGAAGCAGACACTGGCACAGGATGATCCCTATTCTCGGGCTTTAATTTAATATTAATTTGCTCGGCGGTTCCTTTAGAGTTGGCGGATTTACTTGCCAAAGTTATTGGCGAACTATCGATCTTGTCGTTGCACCGGGGAATGTGACACGCGACAGAGATAGGCTGCTCTACTTTTTCAGATACGTGCAAGCCTGGTGTAGGGATCTCGTGAACGATTAACGTTGGTTTGTTGGGAATTTCTTGGACCTCGGATTCTTCGGGTAATTTGCGAGTATTAACGTCCGGTTGTTTGGAAATGTTACGTGGATCAATCTGGGAATTCTCTCGAACTTCGTGAGCAACGATATTAGAATCTGAAGGAACTTTCGAGGATTCTTCGATAGAAACTTTGGATTCATTTGAGTTGGATGTAAAATCTTTCGAAGACTCGGAGACCATAGTCTCAGGATCGACATCGGATATAATAATGTTTTTAGAATTTTCAGAGATCTCTTTGTTTTCCGATATTGCGCGTGTTAGCGCAGAATCCATCGAAATTTCAAAGGATTCGGCATCAGCAAGAATTCCGTCGATCTCGGAATCTTTGGGAGTCTTTGCAGCGGTCTTAGAAGTTACAGAAATTTCCTCAGTTGTCCCAGAATCCTTCGAAGAATCTCGAGCAGCAACTGTGCTTTCTTTAGAAATCTCATCTCGGACAATCTTCGAATCCTCCGAGATTTTCCCCCCAGCCTCGCTCCTAACATGTACCGAATCTTTAGCGAAATCATCTCCAGAAATTTTCCGCCATTCGATATTCGAATTTTCTGGGACTGCGTGACCTGTAGAATTGTCCTCAAGGTTAGCAGACTGAGGAGATGTTGCTTGGGTTACGATCGAATTAGTATGATTATTATCATGCGATTTACGGCCAGGAACGACCACATTATCCTCAGGTCGTCCATTGTCAGTTACCAAACTGGCATCAATTAATTTCACACGATTATCATCGCTAGCTAAAGTCACGACGGTGGACATTCGCATGTCGGATGATTCAGACGTTCCCGAGTCACGTACGAACGAGGATGACGTCTCATCCGATAATGATTGTGCGCCAATGGTCTCGTTGTGTCTCGTTGAACTATCGCTGGTGAGTGATACGCCGTTCAAAGATGCATTGTTAAACCGAGGATCTTTGATGTCGTTTGCGAAAGGCTTGTCAGCTTCCTTTGACGATGATCGTTCATGAATCGATGGATCGTACGGTGTATGAATTTCCGGATTCGCGTCAGCGTGATTGTGATGATGGGGTGAATCAATTTCTGTCTTTGAATTCGATGCCTTTGAATTGATACTTAAAGCCTCTCGCGATTGCGCGGAATTAGATGCCTTCTCGAATATTTCATCGCTGTTAGTATCGTTCGTGACTGCAACTTCCGGAGAACATTTTTGTGAACTTACTTTGATTATCGCCGTTTCAATTTTCTCTCCGCTCTGCAACTGCGCTGCCGCGTCTCCCGGGATCCGAATCCCGTTAAATTTTCCTTCGATCGCCCCCCTTTCTACGTTAGTACGCGAAATACTATCGCTCTCTTCGTTTTTACGTACCGTTTCGAGATCTTGTAGCTTTTCGATGTCAGCCGCGGTCGTTTCTGTTGTTTCAGTTCTCGCTACATCCGAGCGGGCGGGCACCCCGACTGCATTCCCGACTTCCCCGAGAGATACATTTTCATTTTTGCCAGACCCAGTTTCGGAGGAGGCTCGAAGAGGCGAGGGATTCCGATCCTCTGTTGCAACATCGGTCTCGTTGCTCGATTTCTTCGACGACAGCATCTGCATCGCCGATATGAAAGGACCGAGTAATTGCTCTGGCAGCGATTTCACGACGGATAACAGCGCCTCCACCGTGGCTACTTGCGTCTCGTTGCCTTTTCCCGGCGAAACGTTTCCAGAACTTTGATTTGCCAAGCCACTCTCAGCCGCAATTATCGGCGACTGCGCTCCTTCGATAATGTTACTCGACTCTACTTTCGTATCTTCCTTTCTAGGCCTTGATATATCCGACGATCCCGCCGTTTCTTCATTCGCTGCCTCTATATCCCGCGAAATCTTCGCGTCCTCGTCTTCTTCGGTGGAATTGTCAAGAGTCGCGATTAATTCCGTGGAAGTTGTTACCTCCGCGCCTTGCCTCGGCGTTTGGTCTGTTAGATTTCGTTGGATTTCAGCTGGCGGGGAATCTCGAGTCGACTCGGAGGACGTCTTCGATGTGCTTTGAGGCAAATCGTGGTGCGATACGTTAGCTCGCAAAGGAATACTCTCCGCCGAAGAGGAGTCTTTATCTACTTGCGCGGCTCTTTGATGAGGGTCAGAGGTCTTTCGGGACGGCGTTTCGTTTTCCATCGAACGCGAAGACGAAGAGGCTTTATCTGCTTCTTGGTTGCTTTGCTCGGCTTCGTCCGATCTCTTTTGGGACGTTGTTTCGCTTTCTTTTGCGCGTGAACCACCATCCTTTCCCTTTGCCTCGGCTACTTCCGAACTCATCGCCACCGTTTGCTTTATATTCTCTTTCGATATGGTTACATCGGTCGTTCCAGCCTCTGCTTTATGCGATGACTCTTTCTCTACGTTACGGGAGGACGAGACAGCTTCTTCGTCTATATTTCTTCCTTCTTTTGTTGTGCTTGCATCAGGTACCGAGATCTCTTTCGTCTTTTGTTCGTTTGGATTCTTCTCTGACAAACTCTTCGACTGACTTCGACTATCTTTCTGTATTGAACTTATTGGAGAACTGATATTCCGATCGTGATCTTTAAGTGTAACAGTTGCGTTAATAATTTCAGAATCCACGGTGGGCGAAATTTGATCGATATTTCCTGCACTTTCTGCTTGAAACCCGTTCGATCGAATTGCTCTCTTGTTTTCTTCTACGTGTGAAACTGTTTCCATCTCAGTTAATTCCTGCTTACTCTCGTCGATTCGATTCTGATTCGACGAACACTCTGTTGGATCCTGAGTTTGACTGTTAATCGCTTTTACGGCAGAATCGTTATTTTGTTCTTGCTTCTTATCAATTGTTAATAATTTAGCATCGTCCGGACTAGCTCGTTTTGATTTCTCGTTCTCCAATGCTTTAACAGTGTTGGCTACATCGAGGTCTTGTACGGCCCTTGGGACCAGATTTTTATCGATTAGAACGGTTCGATCGTCAGTGTTGTTAACTTCATACAGATTATCAGGCTTATTACCGAGCGTGTTCAGGGGATCTTTCTCGTGTTGCCAGTTATCGGTCAGTTGTTTGAGGGCTGCCAGTTGCTTTTGAAAGTCGGCCTGCAACGTGATGAAATTTTCTACGATTGGTGACATTACCTGCTTCCTGGCTTCCGCGTCTGACACGTTGGTAACCTGTTCGGAACCATCCGTTCCACCACCGACCGCACCTGCCGTGTCTGAAATCATTTCAACTTTATCATCGTGAATGTGAAAGAGTGACGTAAAAAGAATGACATAAAAAGTACTCGTCAGAGATCAGACATTACAATTTGTACGATAAAAGGTTAGAAGATGTATTTTTATCTACGTTGAAAATGATACTAGTAAAAAAAAAAAAAAAAAAACGTTTTGAGAACTGTCGTTG